GAACTTGAATTGAATGTTTACGTAACACCTTCGAGACGAAGTGGGAGGAGCAAGTCACCATGGAGCTCTTACTTTCTGAGGTATATCAAGCATTTTGGAACGCTTCCTTAAAGCAGAGTCCAATGAAGAGTTGGCCATCGATGATGCTGGCTATCATGCTAATAAGCGCAGTTATGACTTTTGACAGTCGTCTGTTCCTTATGTCAAAAATTCGATTATATACGCAAGTATGGGAGCATCGAAATGAAGATGGACTTGAGTACAGAGCACTTAATCATCAGACTCCGGTCTGCATCAGTCACCACGTTTCAAGCTGGTTCATGTAACTCATCGCGTGCCATTCCAATTCGTCGATAAATCTACCTTTCGTTTTCCATCAGCAGCAAACACGACCCAAAAGTGAACCTCTCCACCTGTACCACTGCTTTTCCGTTGATCTACAGAGGCAACGGGTAGAAGAGCTAAAAAGCTAGGCTTTTCGTTTTAAATGCGTTCTCAAGCATGCCGATAACATCGCACTCGGATGCGAGCCTTCCTACAGTTACAGAAGAGGCCAACAAAACAAGGCCATCAACAAATAATATCCAACTGTACATCTCGTACTTTCTCTATGTTTCATACACCGATATACTCATCGCCCTGGCTGCGCCTAACTATTCCCTCCATGCACAACGCAAACAAGAGAGGGGTCTCCTTGGCAGGTACAAGTGCCAACGTTGACTGGTCCCGAGTTAACACCGTGTATTCTGACGCAGTATCTGTTTTCAACATATGGTGATTGGACGGATCCTAGCAGCTGACCACTGACCGAATATCATTGCAAGCACGCCCATAGGTTGCTGCACAAAATCCAGTCATAGGATTTCTATAGGTAAACAGTGTACATGTAAACAGAATCAGCTGACTCAGACAATTTTTCAACGATCTGGCAATAGACTGAGATCTGATTAGACATAGTTGAACTCTGTCTTTCCACTAAAATGAGACGCAAGGATACTCTTGATTATGCATGATGGATGATATTAAGAAGTAACATGAAGCAGATATGCTTCTTCTTTTCAAAGGTTAAAAGTTCGAATGACTGATGCGGGAAGCATGCTCATATGTTCATTTCGTCGTCGTCCCTCGGGAACAAAGAACACTGCCTCTTCAGGCAAATTCAGGCAGCTTTCTTATCCCCAATGAAAGAGTGAACTAAAGTCATGCTGAATCTTGCAACTAACGTTATGGCGAATGCACTTCGAGATAGTTCCCTTTCTCATGGCTTGAGCTGAAGTCTACTTACCTGCGGAGTACGTCGACGGCCTATA